ACAGTCTCTCCAATCTTCAGTATCATAAACATCAGGCTAGTCAATACAAAAACGATTATCGGCAAAATGGTCCAACTTAGGTCACTTGTTAAATTAATATCTTTAATATCGTTTATATGACAGAAGTGTTTGCAAATGAATTAATACCAAATGCATTAGTGATTAGTTGCGACTTATAGTTCCAGTCGATAAATACCGCTTAAATACACTAGCTGGGTGGTGTTTAGTTTACATCAAAGTTGTCCTGCGACCAAATAATTTCGATTTTTCATTATTAGCTTTCACTGGAAGAGCATGCTTTCATACAATGCACACAACGACCTAGAAACTGCCTGTCAGACGTCTCGATTGTCAACTCGGCTGTACAAGTAAGGGCATAGGTCTTAATAATTTAAAAAAGAAAAATCAAACTTACATATAAAATTAATGCGTACTTGGTAGGGAATTGATCCGTCAAGAAATAAGCATAACAGAATTTTCGTCCCCGAAATGCATGACGAATTTTTGGGTGAGGCTTTCGTGTGAGGGTGCCTTGAAAAGATTCCAGTGGCTCAAATTTCTTTTCGAATAAGTGCTAAAACGGAATTAGAGGGGATGCGGTTTACCAGGGCCGTTTGGGTACGGTAAAAAAATAAGCAGAACGAAATTTTGGTCACTTGTGGTTGTTCTACTCAACCAAAACTATTGGTGAAAATGAAGCCTGCTGACCAGGAAAACTAATGGAGCAACCCTACTGATAAATGAATGAAGCCTACAGACAGAGTAACTCCTTTACTATTAGGAGGCCTCACAAGAAATGCCTAGTGGTTGTTGTTTGCAATATTATTTTACCACTAGACACAACTTATCAACAAGCCAACTGGGGACCTTGTAGGTCCATTGTGCCTTTCATTTTCAGGTGGTAATTTTGTTTAAATTTGCTTAGTTTTCTCTTGCTGCACTTGTTGGAAATAAAACACATTTCCGGCAAGCCTCATGCGGCGTGTTCTGACAGCTCCAATTTATTTCTTGCAGAATGTGCACTGTATCTTCTCACCGGTCGTTCTCCTTTCCACCCGTTAAAGGACACCTACATCTGGTGATCAACTGACGGTGATTGGAACGCAGGCTTTCTGCAGCACTTCCGGTTCCTAACGACCGACCCTGGTTTCCAACTTCAATCTATCAGTCTTCCTTGCAAGTCAATTACTTGGCTTATGCTACGGAGGATTCTTGGACCCAGTGAGTCGTATCTTTATCCTTTACATTGCCGTTTATCAACTTTTACCCATTTTCCATCAGTGTAGTCTAGTTACTGCTAGTCATTGCTACGTTTGGAAATTTTGTGTTGCATAGTGTTCTGATACGTTTTGTAGGACTTAGGCTCTACATATTGGTGACCCCATTTTCGCTGTTATCCACGTATTTTTCCTGCGTTCCGTCTTCTTCGGCATCTTCGTTTTTTCCATCATGATTGACGGGCAGCAGAAGTTTCACGAAAAAACCGTTGATAACGGCCATAACAACCTACTCGAATTAGAAGAAGAAACGGAGGTTAACGCAGTTACCGTACCCATCAAACTGCCCACATACGGAGTACGCGATCCTAATGTTTGGTTTATGCAAGTTGAGGCCGTTTTCGTCACTCGCGGTATCAAGGGGAACGTACTCGCTATGCTTATGTCGTGCGGTCCCTTCCTTTTGACGTAGCATGTGCCCTTCAGGATCTTTTAGATCCTATTTCCGCAGAGCAGCCGTATACGCGATTGACAGCGGCTATTCTCGAACTTACGGCTTAATCGGCCAACAGTAAGCTCTATGAGTTTTTTAACGCCGCGAACTTGGCGATCAGACTCAGCCCGCTTTAATGCGTGGTATGCAAAACTTACTAGCTAAGCGTACACTTATCGCAGAGTGTTAAGTAAGTTAAACGCTAGCAACAGCGATCCTCAGTCCATGGTTACTTAGAAGAGGAGAAGTCGGTAAAGGCCATAGTAGTAGGAACAGTATATTGTGTACACTAAGGAACGGAGAATAGATGGAAAGAGATTTGACTTGGAGCGTTACGGCCAGCCAGGGGAGCCAGTCGAGCCCAAGTGCTGGTTTGGCAGCTGTCAGGCCAGCAGACAGAGAGCGAACGCTCATTGGCTGGGTCGGCCTTGAAAGCTTTTGGGCAGACAGATAGCTTTTGTCGGGAACGCGTTCTATTCGTCGCTTCTCTAAGGACCAGCTGGGTGCCATCTGTGATTAGCTGTTCGCAGACGTTTAAAACCCCATTGGTGGGCCTTTGGGAAAGTTCACTTCGAAGTGAGCTAGTCACAACAAACTTGATCCCGCTATTTTCCGCTGCATCAGTGATATTCGGACTAAACATGCGCAGTATGATAACGTCAGTTTCGAATATGCTCACAAACTAATACTAACTATGTTCTCTTTAAACGTGCGATTGACAGGTACGGAGGACAGCAATCGTAAAATTCTCAAAAAACATTATGAAGAATTCATGTATCGTTTAACCTGGTCATTGTAAACAAAGAAATAAACTGTTTATTAAGTACATACAGAGATACCCTCATGGTTAACATGATTAAATTCCGCTCAAGTACAAGGTACCGCAAAAGTTCAATTTAATTATCGGTCGTCTGGTTACAGGCAAGGCCAAAAGTCATATACAGTAAGGAATCGAGCTGAGAGTGAAAAAAAACTCCAGATCAATCTCTCTAGTGTTTTTTCAGAGGAAAAACCGCAGCTCATGGAATGTTTGAATTTCGGGAAAGAGAAGGTTTGGAACGGGTTGTCAGTCGCACTTCGGCATTATGGATCCGGTATGCTGCCCTAACTGAGGGTTTGTCGGCCATTGCCCTAAGCATGAAGCTTAGAACAGGGTTCAGAATCCGCGAACACAAGTGGGGTCCTCATACTCTACCCCTACCGCTATCTTAAGCGGTGTCCTTCAA